TCTCTCTCTCTCTCTCTCTCTCTCTCTCTCTCTCTCTCTCTCTCTCTTCATTTCACTTTGTGTGTTGGGTTTTTCTTCGGTATGCTGCTGAACTGCAGTAGCTGTATAAGCCATATTCGTAGTAGTTGTTTTGTTGTTGTTTCGTATATCGCAGTATTCCTCTTGAATAGTAGCGGTCTTTTGTGGTTGATCTTAGCAACGGTGTCGCTGAATACAACGAAATACACACACAAACACTTTGCGAGCTTTTAGGCTTATCGTTACTTTGTTTTCCATTTGATTTTATTATTGTTGCAAATTTTTGCTGCTGCTGCTGCCACTGTTGTTGTTATTATTGTTGTTTAGCTCCTCTTCGTTCGTTTGGTTCTCGTTTTGCCTCATCCAGGGTATCTCGTTGCATTAACAGCTTCAGGTATTCAAAGAAGTCAAATATATGTTTTTAGCTCAAATCTGTTGGGTATTTCTTTTTTGATGTAGTATACATCGCATTGATCCTCATTCTTTAGGTGACAAGTGTTTATCATTAATCATATTTTGCTGGGATTTTCACATCGTTGGTGTGAGACTGGCTGCGTGTGTGTGTGTATGTGCGTGTGCATTTCGGTCCGTTCATTTAAATCTTTTGTCCTTCAACACAACTGTGGAACAGCGAACGAGAGAGAGTAACGCAAACCCGATAATAATAATTGAAAGTTGTTTGCATTTTTTTTCTCCCTTACGCTCCTTCTGACGTGATCAGTATTGTTGTGCCGCAGGTTTGAATGTCATTACCAATATTTTGTCGGGTTCAATGAATGTCATCGAAATGATCGTATCAATGCTTTCGTTGCGCGTCCGTAAATTTTACAGTCGTTTAATGAATCCGTTACGGTTGTTTGTCACTCTTTTCCCTTCGATTAACCGGAAAAAAGCGATATATGATGATACGCATAAAGGCAATCATCAACAATGAACCGTATTTGAGTCAAAGACGCGAACACAAGTGCCTGCCATAATAAAGCGACTACAACGA